GAAAACTGTTTGAAATTTAAACTGTTCAACTGGGTAATGTAACGTGGCAAAGCGTAAACTAAAGTGTACACCGTAGTGTACATGTAGCAATGCTCATACCGATTGAACTTTGCTATTTACACACTAATTTTGACACGTTGTTTGACACTTGTATCGTTGTCAAGTTTCAATTGGATGGAAAAACTGTTTGAAATTTAAACTGTCCAACGGGATAATGTCATATGGCAAAGTGTAAACTAAAGTGCACACCATAGTATACATGTAGGAAGGTTCTTACGGATAGAACTTTTTTGATTGTACACTGATTTTCGACACGTTGTTTAACACTTGCATTGTTGTGAAGTGCCAATTGGATGGGAAAACTGTTTGAAATTTAAACTATCCAACAGGGTAATTTCACGTAGCAAAGTGTAAACTAAAGTGTACACCGTAGTGTACATGTAGCAAGGTTCTTACGGATAGAACTTTGCTATTTGCACACTGATTTTCGACATGTTATTTGACCCTTGCATTGTTCTCAAATGCCAATTGGATGGGAAAGCTCTTTGATATTTAAACTGTCCAACGGGGTGATGACACGTGGAAATGTATAAACTAAAGTGTACACCATAGTGTACATGAAGCAAGGCTCATACCGATTGAACTTTGCTATTTACACGCTAATACTGACACATTGTTTGACACTTATATTGTTGTCAAGTGTCAATTGGATGGGAAAACTATTTGAAATTTAAACTGTTCAACTAGGTAATGTCACGTAGCAAAGCGTAAACTAAAGTGTACACCGTAGTATACATGTAGCAAGGTTCTTTTTGATTGAACATTGCTATTTGTGCCCTGATTTTTGACAAGTTGTTTAACGCTTGCATTGTTGTCAAGTATTAATTGGATGGGAAAACTGTTTGAAATTGAAACAAGTCCAACATCATAATGTCACGTGACAATGTGTAAAGTAAAGTGTACACCATAGTGCACATGTAGCATGGTTCATATCGATTGAACTCTGCTATTAGTACGCTGATTTTTGACACATTGTTTGACACTTGCATTGTTGTCAAGTGTCAATTGGATGGGAAAACAATTAGAAATTTGAACTGTCCAATAGGGTAATGTCACTTGACAAAGTGTAAACCAAAGTGTACACCACAGTGTACATGTAGCAAGGTCCTTACTAATTTAAATTTGCTATTTGTACACTGATTTTTGACACGTTGTTTGACACTTGCATTGTTGTTAAGTGTGAAGTGGATAAGAAAACTGTTTGAAATTTAAACTGTCCGACAGGGTAATGTCACGTGGCAAAGTGTAAACTAAAGTGTATACCATAGTGTACATGTAACAAGGTTCTTACCGATTGAACTTTGCTATTTGTACACTGATTTTCGACACGCAGTTTGACACTTACATTGTTGTCAAGTGTCAATTGGACAGGAAAACTATATAAAATTTAAACTTTCCAATAGGGTATGTCACGCAGCAAAGTGTAAACTAAAGTGTTCACCATAGTATACATGCAGCAAGGTCCTTACCGATTGAACTTTGCTACTTGTACACTGATTTTCGACACCCAGTTTGACACTTGCATTGTTGTCAAGTGTCTATTGGACAGGAAAACTATATAAAATTTAAATTGTCCAACAGGGTATGTCATGTAAAATCCCGATTTTTTTTAGTTTTTCATATAATTTATTTGCCATTTAATAGGAATGCAATGTTTAGTTAAGTCCTTATGCAAGTTAGTTGGCTACCTCTATAGTTAATTTGGATCTATGTGGATATCTTTATAGTTGAGGGACCGAAGTGAAAATAAATATCGAAATTATAATTTTATTAAATGGGCCAAATAGTTAACTGTTGAAGGAGTTAGAATTACCCTATCAATTTTGGGCTCATTTTGAAGCTCGTAATAAATGACGAATTATGGACTCAAGGAAAATTTAATTTGGTCAAGTTAAACTCGAGTTATAGCCAATTAAGAAAACTACTTAGTTAATAATATTAGTTATCAATATGGACTAAATTACTATATCAATACTGGACTCCTTTGATAGATAATAAATAATTATGCATATTAGGATTAAGAAAATGATATTTTCGATAAGTTGAATTAAGATGGAATCAATGGAAGAATCAAGGTATAAATGAAATTCTAATTTAATTACTATGCATATAGTTCACAATTCTCGGCCACTAGGAATAATATATGTTTAAGTATTGATAATTATGAAATTTAAAGATAATTGATTAAAACGTAATCATAATAATTTTCCAGAAACTATTAAATTCCTTTTTAATGCTAATCTACTTTAATTAGGATAGAAACTATTGTTCTTAATCGTGTAGGGTTCGGATTATGATAAAGTTTCCTAATAATTTTAGTGTTAGAATAATTAGGACTCCAATTAATTAAACTAGTTAAGTTATTTCATTTGAAACACTCTTCCATTTATTTTGATTTAATCAAAGACAAGAGAGTAACTAGTTATCTATTTAAGTTGTTTTATTAGAATAAAATATGTCTATACATGCAATTAAGAGATCCAATTTATCTAACCTTTTCATGTGTGCACAAGATGCACAGTTATAATTGTAGTTGATTATTTAACTTGCCAATCTTAATTAGAAATCTCCAATTAGATTAATAAATAGGATTTTAGTCCAATTTCTGGGAAGTGCATGGACGGAATATAGAATTCAAATCTTAGTGTAATTCCACTTCGACAATGAATCCTACATGATTGCCCTACAGTTACGACATACTTTATTTTACTATATACATAGAAGTAAACCTTTAGCTTTCTGCAACGTATCCATTCTATCTCTTCCTCTCTAAATTTTCCTCTATATTACTAAGGCTTTATACCGAAAGCAGTCTACTATATTTTATTCAATTTCACAAGCAACCAAGAGAAAAATCTCAGCAAACAAGTTCCCACAATTTGCTTTCCAAGTGCATATTATAATGCAAGATTCATTATGTAAAGTGAGGTGCTCAGTGCTATTAGTGGTTTTTCCACATCTTTCAAATACGTTGTTATGTATGGATTTAATTACTTCAGTTCAGGGCTCCTTTGGGAGAAATCATGATACATTTTAAGGCACAATTTAGCCTTCACATTATTTTGCAGCGCTTGCTTGAATTATCATTTGGCATGGTGTGATAATTCTCATGTTATGTTGGTAAGAGAATTTATACATAATTTCACGTTTGATTTGAATGTGGAGTAGCAAGCATCTCATTGAGTATAATTCGTTATACTCATCCCTCTTTATTTACAATTTTCAGGTAAAAATTAGTATGCTGGATGGCGGTAGATGAATATGCAATTGGACCAATGGATCTTCATCATGAAGTACTTTAATTTTTAGAAACACTAGAATATTTAATAACATTTGGTTATTTTGTTTTTAAATTTAGACTCAATTGTGAGTACCGTCATAATTTTCAATTAGTCCTAATCTTATTATTTGTTAGAACTATTTTTATTGATATGATTCCAAAACGTTCCGCTTATTTTTATAAATTTAATATCTTTATTAAATGTTGTTCAATTTTACTGAATTTCTTGTTATTTTAAAATATATTTGCTTCAAGCACTTTAATAAAATTCATGTTTCGTAACGTTTTGGGGTGCTAGAATTCGGGGCGTTACAGCTTGGTATCAGAGCAAAGGTTTGCTTTCCTGTAGATTTTTTTTCAAAATTTTAATTTCAAAAAACAAAAAAAAAAGTTATATATATTTAATTGTTTTTTAGGGGAATTCATTGTTTGAGTTTTCTTGTAGATTTTTTTTCAAAATTTTAATTTCAAAAAACAAAAAAAAAAGTTATATATATTTAATTGTTTTTTAGGGGAATTCATTGTTTGAGTTTTCTTGGTTTGAGTATTCGTAAAACTAAGATGCTTTGTCAAAAAGACCTAAACTGTCTAAGGTGAGCTTTGGATTTAAGTTGTCCACTTGTGACCCCCTCCTCACCTGGAAGCCTTTTTAGTTGCGCGTTATTCAAATCAATAAGATGAAAAACAATGTTTTAAACTCACTTCAGAATTTTTTAGAAAATTCTTTCATTTTAGAAACTTTTATACCAAAAAAAAAAATCAATTTTACAAAAATTAATCAGTTACGAGATCCATGGAATCCAATGCTCATCAATCTACCACTGTCCATATATTTTTACGGTATGCAAAGATGAAGAATATTTTTATTGATATTACCATTTATATTTCAGTGCATACTAATTAATTGTATAATCTCATGAGTTTTTCCTTACACGTCATTTTACTTCAAAGGAGAATGTTAATTAAGCATATGATTATTTTGTTTGGGATTGTATGATTAGTAAAGTAATTCTTATATGACTAAAACCTTAATGCGTAACACTTGGCCTTAGCATAACATACACGGAAAACATGACTAAATATAGAAAGATCATTAGGAAGAGTGTAGTATGGTTGAGCAGTTCTTAAGATAAATTTCTTTTACTTCAAGGAAATGGCACAACGACAACAAGATCATGCTACTATGTTCAGAGATTTACTAAGGGCAATGCAAGACTTGGGCAGGCAGCAAGCTCAAGCGACACCTCATAATGTAACAGCAGGTACCAATACCATGAGCTCGATTGTTGATCCGTTTCGTCGTTTTAAACCCCCATCCTTTGATGGTAAAGGTGACGCTTTTGAGGCTGAGGAGTGGCTGAGAAGACTCGAAGGGATCTTCGAGCACATGAACTGCAACGATGCTCAAAAGGTTTCTTGTGTGAAGTTTATGTTGACTGATGATGCTGGACATTGGTGGGAGTCGAAAATACGTACTAGAACTACAGAACAACAACGTAACCTCACTTGGAACCAGTTCAAGGAGTCGTTGATGGGTAAATATTTTCCCCAGTCACTGAAGGATCAAAAGGAGGTAGAATTTCTCTAGCTGATGTAAGGAAATTTGCCACTAGGGGAGTATGAAAGAAAATTTGAATGACTTTCTAGGTATGCATCGCATATGGTAAACACTGAGCTGACAAAGGGTAAAAGGTTTGAAATGGGGTTAAGGCCAGAGATTAAGGAAATCATGGCAGCCCAGCAGTATACTACTTATGCGAAGGTTGTACGTCAAGCACAGGCAATCTCTAATGGTTTAGGACTGGTAAAGAAAACCCAACCTAGCACCGAGTCGTCTATAAAGAGAAAGTGGCAAGGTTATGATAAGGAGAAAGGCAGGAATCAGAATAAGAAAGGAAAGATTAGGTTAGACTCAAATAAAACTTTTCCTCAATGCTCTGATTGCAACAAGCGACACTTGGGTGAATGTCTTCAAGGAAAGGGAGTATGCTACAGTTGTGGTAAGAGTGGTCATTTCTTTAGAGAATGTCCAGAGAAGAAGAGAGAAGCTGATCAGTTTAAGAAGGGAAAGGCCAGAGTATTTGCTTTGACAGGAGAAAAGGAGGATCAGAACACAGACGTAATAACTGGTATGTTACCAGTATCTGACGTACCTGCTATTATCCTTATGGATTCTGGATCCACTCATTCATTTATTTCTACAATTTTCATGGATAAGATTGGGAATGAATTCGTAAAAATGAATAACATTTTAGAAGTTAGTACACCATCAGGCGAAGTGATTAATACCAATTAAATGGTTAAAGTTGTTAAGTTAGAGATCAAAGGAAAAGTATTAAAGGCTAATTTGTACCTTTTAAGAATGAAAGACTTTGATGTAATTTTGGGTATGGACTGGTTGGGTAGAAATTATGCGACCATCTTATGCCATAAGAAGGAAGTTTTATTTCAAAAATCTGGAGAAGAAAATTTTCGATTCTTTGGAACAAAAATTGGGACTCTACCTCGATTGGTATCTGCAATGAACGCAGAAAAGATGTTGAGAAAGAATACATGTCAAGGATTTTTATTGAATATAATTAGTAAGCCCTAGTCCGAAAGAAAAATAGAAGATGTACCAGTAGTTAATGAGTTTGTGGATGTTTTTCCTGAGGATTTACCTGGCATACTGCCTGATAGACAAGTAGAGCTCACAATTGACTTGACCCCTAGGGTAGCACCAATATCTAAGGCTCTTTTACAGGATGGCACCAAAAGAATTATAGGAGTTGAAGATACAACTACAAGAATTATTGGATAAAGGTTTCATCCGGCCTAGTGTATCCCCATGGGGAGCCCCGGTATTGTTTGTTAAAAAGAAAGATGGGTCAATGAGGATGTGTATTGATTATAGAGATATTAATCATCTGACTATAAAGAACAAATATCCACTCCCAAGGATTGAGGATCTTTTTGATCAATTGAAGGGTGTAAAGGTGTTCTCAAAAATAGATATGAGATTAGGTTATCACCAACTCAAGATAAAGGATTGTGATATTCTTAAAACAGCGTTTAGAACACGGTATGGGCACTATGAGTTTACGGTGATGCCATTTGGTTTAACCAACGCACCAGCTGTGTTTATGGACTTGATGAACCGAGTTTTTCATCCATATCTAGATCGATTGGTTATAGTCTTCATTGAAGATATATTGGTATACTCAAAGGATAAGTAGCAACATGAAGAACAGTTGAGAATAGTACTTGTCACACCCCTAAATTAATATTGATATCTATACACAACCTAGACATAGAATTTTACATATATATATATATATATTTTTTGAGTTTGTTAACTTCTAATCACCTGTGACACGATCATATAATATATCGAAACCCAAAATCATATCGCCATAATCCAACATATATATATTCAGAGCTTATAAACATGTCTACAGACCATTTCAAAGTACACTATATAGGATTCCAAAATATAACCCTACAGATGGCAGCCTACAAAATAACCCTACAGGTCGTCATCCATGTACATCGATCTCTGGAATCCTGTAGAAGCTCCACAACTGGCCATGCTCTCTATGTAGTTCCATGTTCACCTACAATGCAAGAACTACATAAGTCAATGCTTAGTAAGCAAAATCATTCATGTCCTGAACATGAGTAATAACGACATATGACACTATGCCATTTACTTTAAATATCACGATAAAAAGTATCATATTTCAATATTCGTCAAAGTCAACCAGAAATCA